ATGAGGGTTGAGAAACACAGTCCAGAGTAAGACAAGACATACAGGGCCATGGAGTCTGCGCCACCTGACTCCATCGTTAGGCGCTCCGATGTGCACCTACAGAAAGAAGCTCATGAGGATGAGGGGAGGGCCCGAGGAGACAGGGAGGCATGACACAAGTAAGCTGTGTACATTCCTCTCCAAGGAGGTGGAGCTCAATCGGACGGCGCAGAAGAGCCCTGACCAGACCGTGCCAGCATCTGCGTGAGCAGGAGCATCTGCTGGGGGTCGCCCAGTGGGTCGCGCAGTGGGGCCCTTGCTAGAGTAGGAGCAGCCCGAGACTCCGTGGGGCTCCGACAGGGGAAACCCAGAAATGTCTCTGCGCCTGCAGTGCGACTGAGCAGACTTTAAGGGAGAATGCGGGGACGCGAGGGAGCTGAGAAACAGTTCTTTGAGATGCAAGATTCTGCACCACAGGGAGCACGAGCTCGGAGAGAAGCTGAGCGGAGGTAGGGCAAGAGAAAGGCTTGTCGTCTGAGGCCCTGGGCCTCTGCTGAGCCTGTTGCTGGGAAGAGGCGGCGACGGGCGTCTGCAGAAGGGGAGAGGAGGACAAAGATGCGCGGGAGGAGTCGAAAACTAGGTTGACGTGGAGGGCTGTTACCCTGATGGCAAGAGGAGGGAAGCCTCGAGCAGTGCCTCCGTCAAATCGCGCTGTGGAGCCACCGGGGAGGGCGGTGCTCCATAGGGGGGGGCTCCTTGGGGGAAGGAGGAAAAACATCGGCAGCACCCCGAGGCGTGTGAGACACTGTGCGCGGGGTTAAATACTGGAGGGGAGTGAGGAGGAGGAGGAGGCGGAGGAGGAGGAGGAGGGAGGAATCGAGGCAGTCCAATGGGCCGTGGGTTGGTGCTCACAGGAACTATCGTCCTGCCTCCCCTGTGCAGCTCCGGAGCTGGGCCTGAGAGCATGGTGGAGAGCCTGGCCTAAGAGAGAAGGGTTGAGGGCATCGAAGGCTCTTGGGAGAGACTGCACCACTCTTGGGTCCGCCCTGTGGTGTTAGGCCCTTTGGGCCGCCGCCGGGCGGGGAGGACGACGCCAGGGGGGGAAGGATGAGGCCCCATGGCGGCCGCGCGGCGCGTGTCGGCGGGGGGGGGCGTTGGGAGGGGCTGGGAAGGGGGCGCGGGAGGGGGCGGCGCCGCGGGCGCCCTGGCGCTGGCTATGCCGGGGGGGGGGCTTCGAGCGGACGCTGAAGGAGGACGGGGGCAAGAGGCAGTGGGGCTTTCTTACGAGGGCGAAGCCGAATAATTCTCGGCCCGTCCCGCCACTGCGCCTAAGTCGTGTTCCAGAGACCTTGGGAGTACGCTGCTGGATCTTGGGGGGCTTCCTGGGGTCTTCTGGGGGGCCTTTGTGACCCATTTGGATGCGATTGTGGCACCTTGTGGTCCTCTTCGGATTTTGAAATCGTTTTGAAATCATGTGGAAGGGATTAGCTTCTAGCGGTCCGGTCAGACAGTGGTGTGCTTTTTGGGCCCCTCTTGGGGCCGTAGTGGAGGTCTAGTGTGCACCTCCTGGGGGCCTCTTGGGCCATCTTGGGCTGGTGTTGGGAAGTTACTGGGCTGTGTTGGGCGCTCTTGCCACCGACTCGGCGAGAATGTTTAATTCGGACAAGGATTCAGTCAATTTGGGCTTCCTGGATCTCGATTCCGACCTGGGGCGATCCACATCTGGCTGGCGAGTTTGGAGAGCCCAGGGTGGCCACAGGGAAGGGAGGTGAGAGCTTCGAATGGCAAAGCCTCTCCCAGGACAGCTCCTGGACGAGCACCCCAGGACTCCCCTTCACGCACCCCGACAGACTCGGCGGATGTCATATTCTCGAAGACAAAAAACAAAGAGCACATAAAAACTTGAGGCAGAGGCAGACAGAAGCAATGACAAAGACGCGTTGGTGGACGAACGGACCAACAGACCAGGAGGCCGATCGACAGACAGACGGAGTCGCATGCAGCAGCGTCGGCACGCAGACGAGCACACGTTGCTCGTCTCTTCCTAGTTGGACACCATTCCCAGTGCTTCCGAGAGCCTGCACGGGCGATCAGCATCCTGGACGATTCCAAATAGCAGCTGGAGCGGAGTTGGGGCCTCCACATCAAGCCCCCTTCCCAGACGTGCATGGCCATTGCAGGGACAGCCATGAAGGCGCCACCCGCCAAGTGGCCGCGCGTCCACGAATTCGCCGTCATGGGCCGCACGCGGCAGAACACTCTGTCCATTCCAGCTTGCTGGCGAAATACCAGCGTTGTCATTTGACATGGTTTTGAGTCAACCCGAGGTCCGAAGCCGCGCGCGGGCTTTTGATTCGTCAAAGCCTTCGCCTCTTGGATTGCGCAGTTACCTCACTTGGATTGGAGAGGCCTGACGGCCGGTGCCGCCGACCCTGATCGAAAGGGCTAGGAGTGGGGGGAGGAAGCGGAGGAGGAGGAGGAGGAGGAGGAGGAGGAAGAGGAGGAGGAGGAGGAGGAGGAGGAGGAGGAGGAGGAGGAGGAGGAGGAAGTGCATCCTTTGTGTGCCCGCTCGAAGAAAGTGCGCCCCGGGAGTGTGATATTCTGACTTGGGACGTGCTCCCGGAAGAGGAAGAAGTGCATCTCGGGCGTGCCCGCTCGAGGAAAATGCGCCCTAGGGGGGTGGTATTTTGACTCGGGGCCCGCTCCCGGGACGCCTCTGCGAGGAGGAGGAGGAGGAGGAGGAGGAGGAGGAGGAGGAGGGAGGAGCAGGAGGAGGAGGAGGAGGAGGAGGAGGAGGAGGAGGAGGAGGAGGAGGAGGAGGAGGAGGAGGAGGAGGAGGAGGAGGAGGAGGAGGAGGAGGAGGAGGAGGAGGAGGAGGAGGAGGAGGAGGAGGAGGGAAGTGCATCCCGTGCGTGCCCGCTCGAGGAAAGTGCGCCCCGGCGGGCGTCGTATCTGCCCCGGGCCCCCCCCCCTCCCCCCCCCCTGCGGGGAAGGGATCAAAGGGAAGGGGCTTCCCTTCGACTCCACTACGACGTCGTTTAATTTCGCTTTGGATAGCGCGCTTGAGGAGGAGAGCCCTGGGAGGGGGAGAACGGAGACGACGGAGACGACGAGTCGAACGGAGAAGCCCCTCACACACGCCGACAGGGTCGGCGGATTTCTGTCCGTCGAGGTGGCCCCCGCAGCGTCGCATAGCTAACGAGGTGGATGTCCTACATCGCCAGATGGTCGTCACCATCATGCGGGTGTCGCCCCACTCTGTTGATAATCTAGCGTGCTACTTCAGGAGGCATGGCCTCCCCGACGCCGCGGGTAACGAGAATGGCGCCTGGTCCTGGCGATGGTTCTGGAGGGCGCCCGACTTGCAGGAGCACGTGCAGCGCACAGAATGGCCAGGGTTGAACAGCCAAAGTTTGCACAGATCGGGGTGATTCATCCAACGCCAGACCTCCTCGCTGTCATTAGACAGCCGGCTCGGAGAGGCAAAGTTTCGGGGTCGAGCGAGTTCACCGCACTATCTCGCCGCCGGGTCTCGTCGGTTAGCGATGAAGCGAATGAGAGCGCAAGCCCCGTATTAGAAGTGCGAGAGCAACACCTCAAGTATTGGGTAGCATTCCGTTCATTCCAGTATCAGTTTCATTTTCGCATGATGGGCAGGACCTCGGCACTGCAGCCTTTAACGCCACAGACATGCAGACCCCGAGGTGTAGAAAAGGCGTCCCACTTGACCTCGCGAGTGGCTCCGACGCGTTGCGCAGGTGTTCGGGTGTCCGTATACAGCTTACATGTATGCGATACGCGAGAGAGGCACCGGTGGCCGCGCAGACGATGGGGAACGAGCGCGGTCGAAAGCGACCCCTGCGTCATCAAGAACCAGCCGAACGAGAATGCAATGAAAGGGCGTCACGCGCCAACGCCCGAAGAGTGTGGACGAGCTACGCTAGCACTCCACCACTTGGTCGCCAGCATATCCCTGTCAACTCCTGGATGTGCGCGTAGTGGATCTGGCGGCTGGCGACATCGTTGACACCAAAACGAACTTGAACGCGCGCGCAACCCGTCGCATTAAAGAGCACGAAGTCGCACGATAAGCGCGCGGCAGACGCAATTGCCAACTATGTCTGGCCACATTCCCAGACCCAACAACTACGGAGATGTAAGAGTGAGCGCAAAGAACAGCAGCTCCAAGGTAGGCTGGTCAAAGTGTTGTCCCAGGCGCTGTGCGGGGTGCGGCAGACGGGGCCGCCAGAGAAGCAGGGGCCGTGACACAACGACATGCGCACGCAGAGGGTCACCGCCGCATGTGCCGCGAGGCTCCCCTGCAAGGCCAGATGTCAGACATGCGTGGCTTCGCGTTTCGTAATCGGCCAGCGTTTGGTCCGATCCTGACGCGATCGGCCCAGAGGCCTGGCCCAAGCGTGCACTCGCCCTTCCGAACTCCAGATGGGTGGGTGGAGCTGGCGCCGTCAATAAGGAGGCATGCACCTTGGCTGCACAATGTGCCATGAAAGCGACATGGACAGATGCACATATAGAGGCGGACGAGTGGACGGGCAAGAAGACAGTCAGACGGGCAGGCATGCGTTAGGGCAGGCAGTCAGGCAACCAGGCATACGGATAGACAGAAGTGGTAGGCAGGCAACTCAGACAGATAAACACACGAGTAGATCGACAGCCAGGCTGGCAGGCAGACGGGCGATTACCCATGGAGGCACGCACAGACAGCGAACAAGGCATCTTGCGAAGAGGGAATATCCAGGTGTGCACATCCAGGCATAAACGAGAAGTAGACAGTCACAGGCAGGAAACGACAATCAGGGGTCACAGAGTGCACTGGGGACCGCGAATATATGTTGTTCTCTGGTGGGTAAGCACACGGGCGTCCGTCACATACAACATCTGGTTGCGCATTTTTCTATGCAGCTGAGCGCATTCGTTTACACTGATGTTGGAGCACATCATGGAATGAACACAGCCACGCGATGCGCCCATCCCTGCGAAGAAAAAGCCACCTTCTGCAGGCAGCACAGCGCCAGGTTCGACGACAGACACAAGTACGAGAGGGGTCCACACCAAGAGGGTGGTGCCTCCATTCAACCCCTCCATGGTTTATCACATGCCGCACGCGTCCGGCGCATGCTTTCATCACCTCGTATACCACAACGGTTCATCAAAATGTTGGCATAGCCCGTGGCCCGCCTATTTTGCAACCTTCCGAGCTGGTGGCCCAGAGTTGTCCGTGGCCAATGGTTTTCGGTTCGAGGCCTTGTGTTTCGTGGCTGGGGGTGGCCCGTGGTGACTTGTGGCACATGGGGTGGTGGTGAACTTGGCCACAGGAGCCTTGAACAGGACGTGCATGTTGTGCGCGAAGTTCACAGATGATGCGATTTTGGGGATATGACCACAGAGTTGAGCGTGCTCACTTGTGTTTGGACACGACGGTGTAATGTGAAATGATTGGTGTGTCTTTGGGCCACAAGCCAATCTCTCCCATTTCAATGTTCCTCGCCTTGCAGGTTCCACGTGCAACAGCAGCGCGAGGCATGACGCCAACACGAAGTTCGAGGAACGCCTTGGTTAGTGCAGATCGAGGGCTCGACCATTCACTTTTGAGCATTCCTATTGTCTGTCGCAGCGTGCCGCTGTTGGACAGGCCTTGCGGCCGGTTCCGCCGACCCTTACGGTGGACCAAGAGGCCCTGGAAAAGGCCGCGAGGGAGCCGCCGAGCGCACGAAGGCAGGCCGAAGACTATCCCAGAACGGCTCGAAGAAAACTTTGAGACCGAGAAGACACAGAACACCGCGCCACCTCTACGGTATCTAGTCTAGCGGTTTTCGGCTCAGGGTCGTGGACCAGAGGCAAATTGAATGCATAAGGGTTGTTTGGGGTGCCTCCAGGAGGCCTCTTGGAGGGCTCTTGACGGGCTCTCGGAGGTCTCTTGGGGCCTCCTGGGAGCCTCTTGCCTCTTTGGGGCCTCTGCGGGCCTTTTGGGGGCCTCTCGGGGTCCTGCTGGCGGCCTCGGGGGTCAGATTGGGACGGCGGACTCGAAATGTCAGTTCGTGCTCCCCCCCTTGGGACCCTCGTGGGCCATCTTGGGTGCCTCTTGGGACCTCTTGAACCGTTTAGGGGCTTTCTTGGGGGCCGTCTCGTAGCGATATTTGTGGCCTCCTGGGCCGTCTGGGAGCGTTGGGAGGAATTGCCAAAAAACCTTGTTTGGAAAATCCATGCTGCTTGGCTCTTGGGGCCCTCCTGGGGGTCCTCTTGTGGCCGTCTTGGGCCGCCTTGGAGGCCCATTGGGTATTGGGTCATCATGGAGGGGCGACAGCGACGACGACGACGACGACGACGACGACGACGACGACGAGGGAGGAGGAGTGGGAGGAGAGGGGAGAGCGAGGCGAAGGAGACAGGGGCCCCGTGTTACTCGAGTGGTGGGGCGCACGCATTTTCTCGGGCGCACGCGGTGGTAGCGGAGGGCCACTCGTACGATGATCCAGCACGTGCCCAGCGAGCCAACGCTGGACAACGGCACCTGAAGCATCAAGAGGCGATACGAAGGCCGACCGAAGACCGGCCGGCCCAACAGGAGACGAATTCGGACGACAAGTGGCTAGCACGACAAGGGCAAGGAGGGCCAAGCAAAGCGAAGAGAGAAAGGAGCGATAGCCGACAGTCGAGGGAGGACAGAGGAGGAGACGGACCAGACACGGAGGACGGGCGGGCCGATGCACGGGGGAGGGGGAACCAGGGGGAAGAAAAGAGGGCACCACACCACAAGGGCAAGAATAACACAGAGGGGGAAGGAGGAGGAGGAGGACAAGGAGGAGGAGGAGGAGGAGGAGGAGGTGCAGAGCCGTCCTGGCTCTCAAGTCTGCGGGCGAAGGAGCTTGAGAGTTTCTGACCTCGTACAACAGAGCGGCCCGAGCACGGGGGCTAAATTTTCATACAGACGACTCTGTCGTGGGGTCTCGCTGCCCGCGGAGTTGCCATCGCGGGTCAGGAGCGGGTGGGAGCGCGGTTCCGTGGCACAACGCTCCAGGCGTGGTGATGCCATGGCCCAGGGCTCCTGTCAGGGGCTGCTCGTGCGGCGAGAGCGCGAATTGGGCGAGCCGTCTCTCCTGCAGGGCGTGCGGCAAGGGGCAAGGGAGTTCCCTTGCTCCACGCCAGCACAGTGGAGAACTCGGCGGGCCCCGCAGCGCCAGCGCCGAAGGCCAAAGCCAAGGCGAAGCCCAAGGCCAAAGCCCAAGACGTCGAGAATATCGATGACGAAGGCGACGACGAGGGCTGGGTGTACGGCGGAGGCAAGCCCAGAAAAGTCCGCTTCGCGAAGTCGGCGGTCGACGACGATCGGGACGCCAAGCGGGTCGCGGAGGCCGTGGCACTGCTGGACATTGGTGACGCCGCCATGCGCAAAGCGGGGTTTGGCTTGCCGCCGCCCGAGGCCGAGGCCAAGCTCAAGGCCAAAGGCCAAACCACATCAGGGCGTGGTGCAGTCGTCCATGTGGAAGGCTACCAGCTTCCCTGGTGGCGGCAAAGGGCGTCTTCGCCGACGCGGAGGAAGCTGCGCAGGCAGCCACCACACACCAGGGCACGGTGCAGGCCACCTGCGACTGGGCCAACCTTGTCTTCGAGTGGGCGCGGCAGGCGGAGCAGAATGGAGCGCAGCCCGCGGAGCCTGAGCGGCAGACGCTCGATCGCGACATCCTCACCACAGCGACGCTGGGGGCGAAGTGCTCGGGGGAGCTCAAGGGGCGGTTCGACGCTCAGGAGGCGGCGCAGCTCACCCAGGCCGTCGAGTTCCTCAGCCGCCCGGCGGCCGCCACGCAGGCCCGGGTGGACGCTGCCGAGAAGGCGGCTGCTGAAGCGTCCGCCACCCAGCCTGCTGAAGCTCCTGGCGGTGATCCTGCTGGCGCTCCAGGCGAAGGCGGCCCCCCGCCAAGAGGAGGCGACGTCGGCATGGAGGACGCCACTTTCTTCCGAACCAATGGCGCCCTCGACGACGACGAGAGGAAGGAGCCCGAGACTTTCCTCGAAGGCAAGGGCTGCCCCTTGCTCGAGCGCGCCAAGCTGCCCCTCGGGCGGGGCGCTGCGGCCGAAGCGACGGAGGCAGGCGCGCGCGGCGCAGGCCGCTCCCGAAACGGGCCCGCGGCTAAGCCGCCGCGGCTCCGGGGCTCTAAGCGCCGTCCTGGAGGAAGCTGGAGGCTGGAGACCGCCAGCGCAACCTCCAAGTCCAGCGTGCTGAAGCGGCTGCTGGTGGAGGCCGAGGGGGGCGCGCTGTTCTTGCAAGAGACGGGCGTTGCCCCCGGCACGCGGGCCGAGGTCGAGCAGGCCTGCCGCCGCGAAGGGTGGAAGGCCTCGCTCGCGGAGCGGGGGGGCCTCTTCTGCGGGGTGGGCATTGCGTGCCGCCCGCGCCCGGGCGTTAGCGCGCCGCCCCCGGGGGCGCTGCCCCCTTCGGATCGAGCGATCGCGAGGTGGATCAGCACGGTCGCGCCGGGTGAATTTCTGGCGCTGTCGTTCTAACTCTTCACGGGCGCGGGCCTCGACGCAGAGAGCAAGGTTATCTTCGGACAGTTGGGCCAGCATGTGGCGGCAGCCTGACTGCCCTTCGGTATTGGTGGAGATTGGAACGGCAAGCCCCGCGAGTTCGAGGCCTGGGGCTGGCCCAGAAGTCGGCGGCATGGTCATCGGCGCGGGGGGGGGCAACGCGCGCGGGATCGGGGGCGGCTCTGAGATCGACTTTTTCGCGATCTCGGTCGACCTGGGTGCTCAGGCACAGGGCGCGGCGAGGCGGCCCGCCGCCCTGTCGCCGAGCTACCCCGCGCGCCTCACCGTCGCAGGGGGCCTGGCCCATGAGAGCAGGCCGGCGCGCCAGGCGCCCCAGGTTTTCCCGGCGATCGGGCCCAGCAGAAACACCCGATTGGCTGCCCATGATCGGCAGGATGACGGAGACGGCAGCGTGCTGGACTTGCTGCGCGCGGAGTCCACCAGCCTGATGGAGGTTGGCCTGGCAGGCCTCTTCGATTGGGGCGCCTCTGAACGGGCGATGCGCTCAGGGTTGCCGGGCTTGTCTTCGCTCAGGGATGCGCCCAGGGCGCCCGCGCGCGCGGGGCCGCGAGCGGGCGAGGCGCTAGAGGCACATTGTTCCCCCCGGCGACAACAGCGGCGAGCTCATAGGATCCCGCAGGAGCTGTCCTTTCTAGCCGCCCTCCAGGCCAAGGTCGCGAAGCTGGCCAACCAGGACCCGGCAGGGGACCTGTTCCAGGATCTACGAGGTCAGGGGAGCTTGCCCGGGAGCTCCGGAGGGTCGGCAGCCTCGCGTTCGTGGAGCTGCAGGCGCTGGAAGGTCATTCCAGGGCAGTGGCGTCCAAGTTCGAGCAGCGTTGCGCCTCGCGACGGGCGCTTGCTCGGCGAGACTGGGGCACGGGAGGCCGTCGCGGACAAAGAGGGGGAACTGCGCGCGGATCTGGCCGGGCCCCGCAGGGCTGGACGCCCGGCGCGCAGGCGTCGGAAGGCGCCCCCGCGCGCTCAGCTTCTTCGCTCCGCGCGCTGAAGCAGGAGCACCTGGGCGTCTGCAAGCTCGGCCTGGAGGATTTCGACTTAGACTAGGCGTTGCGCAGGACCCCGGGGGCTGCTCGAGCCCCCTTCCGCCTCCCCCGACGCCGTTCGAGACTGCGGAAGCGGCCCGAAATTAAAAAACCCGCGCTGCGGTGGAAGTAGATAGCGTCAAAACTAGGCACTTCGGCTGGCCGTCGACCGATGGCCACGCGGGCCGATGTTTTTCTCGGGCCCCGGCCTGAGGCTGCACGGGCCGACTGCGCGCGAATTCGCGCAGGCGCTCAGGGCGCCCTCGTCGGAGGTGGGCCGCGCGCTTCGCGCGCGACCAGCTCGGGCGTTCTATGCCGGGCAGGAAAAAGCGCCGTCGACCGAAGGCCCCATTGCCTCGGGGCCGCCGCTTCACATCGCTGGGCTGACGGTGGCCCCCCCGCCGAAGGCAGCGGGGACATTCATAGTCCTCCCGGCAGAGCCCGATAGGTTGGAGACCCGTCGGCCTGATCTGCAGCCTGCCGCGGTTGCCGGGGAAGCTTCGCCACGCGGAAGCCGAGGCCTGGGGGCGGGTGAAGGGCCGCCCCATCTTCTTCGGAGGCGCACGCGGGCAAGTGCTGCGAGGGCGCGGCCCGCTGCAGAGCTCCGACGCGGACCGCGGCAAGGCGGTGGAACTCGAGTCGCTGCGTCAGCTCCATCGCGGGCGACGTCGGCTCTGCCTGGGTCGCGGGAAGACGGATGTCTTCCAGGTCCTCCTCTCGCCGCTGGCGGGGCGCTCCTTCGACGCCGCGCTGCTCCGGGCGGTGCTGGTCCAGCCCGCCAGCGCCATGATGAAGTCATGGCAGTCCATCAAGACCTACGCGGCGGTGGGCGACGTCGCGCTGGCCGCGCGCGTCAGGCTGAGGCAGGTGGAGGCCATCGTTCTGGGGGCCACGCGCACGTTCTGAAGGTTGCTTGAGGGGCCGGACATCCGTCTCCCCCACGAAATGGCAGGTCCTCGCCGGCGACCCTTACCTCCCTCAG